GTTAATTTCTTAGACCTCAGGAGAATTTTCTTTGAGTTTTCTTTTTTGGGACACCCTGACCCCCCTTCTTAAAAATGTAAGGAACTGCTAAAGGAAAAAATCATAATGCTAATTTTTAGTGTGAGTGAATTTTTCAGATGTACTTTTTCATTTCCAAAGGGATCCTTGGTAGTTTGAGATGGTCTTTTGAGACCATGGGGAGGAAGGAATTTTTAGTACATTAAGACTTGAAGCATATGGGAGGTACTTCAAAAAGTTTGTGGAAAAATAGAATTAAAAAATAATATGAATCCTTCCATTAACTATTTTGAAGTACCCTCGTATACACCTGGGTACAGAAAAACACACATTTATCACCCCGCATTCCCCCTACACACACACGCACATACACACACAAACACGTTCTGTCACAGACGAATACCTAAGTGGTTAAAAACACAGTTTTCAAGGTCACTCATAGAGGCATTCAAGACCATCTCATTTTTCATTAAGTCAGGAAAAATAAAGTTTGCTAAAATCATTCAGGGTTTTAAAGATTGAGAAAATGAATCTCACACAAAAAGAAAATTCAAAAAAGAAGTCAGTTCAGTGAGCTTTACCTTCCCCTGCCTTTTATTAAAACTTTTTTCAGTGAAGCTTTTGTAATGGTAAGGAAATAAATATGCATATTTCATTTATTATTGTCGTTATTATCAATAACAGCTATTTATTAAATACCTGCTACGTCAGACACTATACGAAGCACTTTTACATCCATCATGTCTAATCTTCATAAAACTCATGCAAAGTCAGTATTGCACATCTATTTTGTAGATGAAGAAACTTAGAGAAGTTAAATAGTACACGTGACGTCACACCACTGATGGATGCCCACATCTCTCGGATTTCACCTTACACTATCCAAAATAGAATTTTTTCTTCAATCAGTGACATATCCTAACTGGCACATAACACTTTTGACTTTCTGAACTGGCCTACACATCCCTTGCGTTCTTTAGTCAGAAGCTTCTCCTGGGCACCGTGTCCATGGTGACCATAAATGGTGCGGGGGAGTGACTTGGGGGACTGGTGAGAGCTAAAGGGTCTTGCCCCTTGAGGTAATGGCCCAAACCCTGTTAGACTTTGGGCTTCTCTTATTTGCTGAATTGGTCTCCTTATGACAACTTAAGACAGTAATTTTACTTTCTTTGCTTAAATTTCTTCTTTTGTAGAGTTTTGAATCTACCTCTCAGAAAACCTGTATTACTTCATTAGTTAAATGATCATGAAAAAAGTATGTTAATATACACAGTGGAAGTTCTGTCAATAGGTTATGTCAAAAGTTTATTACCTCCTTAAATTTACCTCGTGGAAAAATATACTATGTGTTAAATGAGTTCCTCTTCTGACTACAGAAAATGAAAAGGTTTCTCCCACTTCCCCTAAAACCATATCACTTCTCTCCCTTTCATCTTGCTCTGTCTTTGAAGATAAAGCCACAGGCAGTCCAAGGCAGTGTTATCCTGGCTGGTGCTGCCTACAGGTGCGATCTGTGCTGCAGACCTGGTAAGCCTGTGGCCACCATGTGTCGAGACCTCACTCTGTGCACCTGCTCCTTCCAGCCCTGTGCTCCCTGCCTCCCGTCGCTGCTGCCCCCTGGCTTGTGCTGGGCTAAGTGCTGCTTTTTCTTAGCATTTCTTAGCCAGGCTGTGGCTTTGGAGGTTGTCCTTTCCATTTGATATATCGCATGCCCACTCCCCATTTCTTCACACCCTCATAGCTCATCACTTAGAAGTGCTTTCATTATCATCTGGTCATTTCTTCTCTATCA